GGCGGGGGGTGGGAGTGGCGCGGCGGCAGCGGGGCGCGGTCCCTGAGCGCAGTGCAGGGCCTCCTCCTGCAGATAACCCTTGCTGATGGAGCAGCAAAAGAAACGTAGCCTCTGCTGGTATCGCTTATTGTGGTAATGGATGGTAACAACAAAAACAACCCGAGGGGATAAAGCCAGCCCTGAAGGCTTATTCCGTAACTGCGAGTTATAACCGTTGTGATTGTCCTGTGCGTCTTGACACTGCATTTATTCACTTACGTGTTTGTTGCAGCACCATGGCTGATACCAAGACAGAAGATGAAATAATCCTCTTTGAAAGAGAAATTAAAGAGTTTTGGACCAAATTTAAAAGCATTTATGGTATTGAACAGAACAGTCAGACTTCAGCACTGAGAGACTCATGCAGGGAGTCCATAAAAGCAATTTCAGGTAAAAAGCCTCTATGTTCCTGTTACCTCTACTTTTTTTTCCAAGTTATCATCAAGCTTCTTCAGTTAACTGAAATAACTTTTAATTACAGAGAAATGGTCCAAGAAGCTGGAAGAAGGGGACCTGATGATTGATAAAATTCAGGAGTTTAGCAATGGTACAGTGTAATGCTTTGTTTGTGTCTTAACGTTTCTAAAATTAATCTAATACAGCTGGATAATGTGTTTAACTTCCCATTTCAAAAGGTAAATAACATCAGAATGAAGATAGAATTAAAACCAACTGTATTTGGTTGGTTACAGGATGTAAATTGCAAGTCAAAAGCAATTTCTTTGAAAACTTCATTGATGGTGCAAAAAGGTAAAAGACTGGTAAAAGTCTTCTGTATAGTGGCTTTGGTGCTTAAGTATTTAAAACAACAAAGTACCAGAACCTGCTTAGTGCAATAGGAAAAGTAAATTAAGCTGCTTAGTGAAGTTAAATGTTATGGTGTTACTTATACCTCTTCCATATTAGTTATAGCATACAGTCAGCCTGTTATTCTGGGATTAACTTCTCTGAGTTTTGTAGTTAAACTTCAGGATACTAGGTAGAAATAACTGCAACTCTATTATCAGTCAGTGGTTTCCCTTCCTCGTTTTCTGTCAAATTATTTGTCTGTGGACAGGATCCACCATCTTCATGCTTTGAAGATGTCATAGTACTTGCACCTGAAACAAATTGCATCTGATTGAATATCAATAGTTAGTAGCTTCTCTTCTGAATAACTTTAAGCTTTCATTTGATGCACTTGGTATAGTTATGCTGACTTTTCAGCTGATATAGCATGCATTATTCAAGTAAGTAATCTCAAACTATATATATAAGTACCAAATAACAGGGACCTAATTAGTCAACTGCCTATGTTCATACTTTCTTGTCCTCTTTCAGAGATTCTCCAGCAGAGCCAACGTGTATCAGAAAATCAAGAGCATTTGACAGAATTAAAATCTAACCTAAATCAAGAAGAGCAGCAAAAGAAGGACTTGACTGATAGCATCCAAAAACTTAAAGAAGAGTTGATGAAGAAAAAGGAAAGTAAGGAAACAAAGGATGAAAAGTAAATTTTCTTAGTTAGAGGAGGTATTGTTTTCAACACTTGCTCTTGATGGGCTTTTTTAATGTTCTAAATATTTTATGTACTTATTTTACCTTTACTTTGATGCTTATAATGGCTCTTAAAATTCTAGTAATAGCTTCTAAAAACAAAACCACTAAGGAGAGAGTGGAACAACTCTGCAAGTCTAAAGTGTTGTTTGAAGAGCGGCTTGGATTGGAGATACGCCGAGTTCATGGTAAGCTCCTGTCGTGTCCAACAGTGTCCATGTGCAGCAACATAATGTGGTTAACGTTGGATTTGTGCAGTGAAGAACTTTCTAGCTTACACAACTGAAGAACTGTCTTAGCCCAGGTATTAACCATTGTCTCTCAAATGGCAAAACATGCATTTGTCTGTTTAAGAGACCAAGGTTGCTTCATTTGTAAGAATAATAATTGAAATTGTAGCTTCACATTGTGATTTTTAGTCATCATTGTGACTCTCCAGCAGAGGTTAAGGGTGTTAATTAACTCTGTTTGTGCTTGCTTTAGATGAACAATTAGAGTTTGTCTTCAGACACATTGATCACAAAGATCCTGACAAGCCATTTGTGTTCACCCTTTTCATAAATGAACAAGGAGATTATGAAGGTATGTGAATTTTCAATACTTACGCAAGAGGACAGAACCTCTGTTTGAAAAAGGGGGGGAGAGGAGTACAATGCAGTTTAGTTGTAGCCTTCCCATTTCCAAATAAACTCTTGCAACGTTAATATATTTTTTAAAATAAACTTTTGCTTGTTAATTTATATGAAAATACAACTGTTTATCTTCACTCCCCTCCATTTGTGGAGTTCCCATTGTATCAAGCGAAGCAGGAGAGAGACATACATTGACAGACAGATGCTTCAGCTTGTGGTTTGTTGCTTCTTCCCTTTATGCCAGAGTGAGTGTTTATGCTGACAGGCATATTTCAACCTGTCTGAGAAGCCTCGAGAGCTGAGGAAAATACGGATCTTACCTCAGTCACAAAGAGCAGCAGTGGCAATTTGTGTACTGTGCTGAGTAGCTTCTAGATGGGGGCTACTGTTGCTCTGCTATGCCTCTAGCTATGGATTATAGATTTCTTTCTTACTAATTCAAATCTAAACTGTGCTGAACTTAAAGATTTATCACTTGCTGAGCTATATCAGTTTTCAGTCTGCCTGCCTGCAGAGCAACAAAAATGTTTAGGAATGTATTTCAATTTTTGAGCAGGCTGTGGATTACTGGGAATTGCTGTAACAGTTCAGGTAGGAGCACAATACTGAGTGGGAGGTCTGGAAATAAAGGAAAACTGTGTGTTTCTTGAGGCTTTGTCTTTGCTGAAATAAAATTATTTAATAGGCTACACAAAAATAATACTGGAGCAAGCTGAAACATAGCAAGATAACAAAATACATTTTTATTTTCATAAGTGTGGAAAAACACATACTGATTTTTTTTTTATAGTAGTCTAATGGTTTTGAAATTTGTCATTTTAGTGACTTCCTGTACTCCTCCTCTGGACTGTATAGCAGAGTTCCAGCTCAAAGTGAGAGAAACTAACAATTTTTCTGCGTTCATTGCCAACATCAGAAAAGCTTTCACTGCTTTATCTTATAAACAGTCTGCATAAAACGAGCTTATGCTGCTCTTTCTAGCTGTGGAGCACTCTTTTCTTTCCTTCCTGTATTGTGAAAGTATGTACTTATTTGTGTCTTACTCTAATATCCAAACAAAAAAATAATGAAAACAATATTTTAGTCTACTATCATCTAGAGACATTTTGGATCACACTTTGAACAGTATAATTAACTAATTCCTTAATCGAATGTCTCCAGAGATGTAAATTTTGATCCAGAGGCAAGTAGCTTAGTGATGTAGTGATTTCTATGTAGCTACCCCAGGAACATATTAAAAATGAAAATACTTTCTGTAATTCATGTCTCTCCCAGAAGCACGGAAGTGTCTTTCAGGTTTGTATGTGGTTGGAAACCTACCACAGTAATGCACTGGAGCTTAGCAATTCCTTCAGTTCCCTGTGTCACAGGTCACTGTCTTAATTTTTACCCCATCTTGTACTCTCCAGTGTTATCACTTATTTTCATGCATTTAAGTTGTTTTTTTATTTTGCTCTGTGAAATTATGTATTTTACTGCCTATTTTGGATTCTTGTCTGGATGCTTATTTCTGTTAGTAACAAAACTGCTTGATGTGCATGTTTTTTTTAAATAAAGCTCTCAATAGGAACAAGTAGGAACTTTGTATTGATTTGATAAGAAATCCTAGAGACATGAAATAGAACCCTGCTGTAGCCCAGAGGTTCCTGGCTCCCAAAACACTCAGATGGGCAGAAGAGCTGGGCTGAAACTTGAACTGCAGTAGTGTACAAGTAACAGCCGGACTAGTCACTGTGCTTTACTACACACAGCATGTTGCAGTGAAGGACTATTTATCATTGTCATTGGAAGTCTTAAGACATGGCAAAGCCTGGAGTAGAATGTATTAAAGTATGAAATATAGTAGTTAACAATAAATCATCTGTGTATCTTACAGTTTATCAAGACTATTACTGCCACAGTACTCAGCTTTGATTAAAACTATTCTTTTTGTAGCTTAGTTGTAAAGTCTTTTTCCTTTTCATAAAATGTTTAAATCAGCAGCTGCAACAAGAAAGAAAACTCTTCATTTGATAGTATAGTTTAAATAAAACCTTATTAAATTCAGTCCTGAGTAAAAGACCACCTGAATTGAAAACTAATGATAATCCCTCTCAGAACACAAGTATGTAAGTGCATAAGACTGAAATACAGTGTAAAGAGTAAAAAAAAAATCCAACAGTTGGTAGAATTCTAAATACTTATACACAGTTTTATTTTCATTATTTAAGAAATGGAACACTTTAAAATATCCTCTGAAGAATATTCCAAATTATTTTTCAATAAAAACAACACTTCAGAGTGTTTTCAGAGTTCAGTTGACTTCGGTAGCATTTCACTTTCCATCAGGAGTGGACTTTTGCAGTGAATCTCCTGCTCCTTGCCACTGTGGTTCATGTCTCAAATGCAAGCTGCATTCATTTGGAATGAAACTAACCTGGGAGATGTACACAATGTGTTCCTGCTGTTAATGGTATGTAGCCCACAGGGCAGACCAGAGCTGGTCCAAGCCCGTATTTGGTACAGGTGTTGGTCTTCCCATTTACTGATAGAACTATTACAGCACTCTTCTTGCCCCAGCCTATAATCTTATGCTCGGGGCAAAATCCCCAAACAAACGTCTCGCACTCCCCCTTTATTCCTGTGTCTTCATCTGCTGCTTAATACACAAGACCTGGCCATTTAGGCACGTTTAAATTTGGTGATGCCGACTCTTACTACAATTGAGAATTGCCCAGTCAGATGTGAACCTGTGTTTTAAATCACTTGGTTTGTCCAAATTTAACAGTACAACTTGCTGGGTATGTTCTGTGAGATACCTGAAGTGGATCTTAACAGAGAATAGTAACTTGTGTCTGCACATGGCTCCAAAAAAGAGAGAATATTCCGTTTCTTCTTCCCTATAGGGCATAATTTGCTATTTTCTAAATTTTCCTTGGTATGCCCTATTGATTTTTTTGTGTGTGCGCTACAGCCAGTTATACACAAACAGAATAGTAAAAGTGCCAACTGATCACCATTTTAGAACAGAATGGCAGCAGAGATTACTGGGCATTTCTATAATGACATCTCAAATGAAACACATCCCCAATTCCTGCCCTGTCCATAAACCCCATCTACTCTACAAATTTTGTAACTGACAACGGGACAAACCGAGGCACAGGCTGGGAGACTGCCTTCAAGTAGTGGGTCTAGTTATTAATTAGCAGATTTTGCTCCTTTTAAACTAAACTAAGAGGGATATTCAAACAGGTATTTATCTCAATCAATTGCTCCTACCACCAAAAGCATGCTCTAGGCACTTTTGTGTAAGTCACAAGACTAGCCAGTAGTTGAAAAAAAAACCCACATTCAGCCAGTTCTGCACTTCCCACTTCTGTCTTCACCAGGAGCTCTGACTGCTGTGTTACCCTGCTTTGTTGTTACCCTCTTGTGCAGAAGCCATCACCTGTCCCTTCTGACCTCTTATTATGGCGTTGCCCCTGTATGCAGAATGACTGTACTCATTTTGAAGCATGCTCCTGCCATTCTCCACCTGTATGTGCTAAGCAACTCTTAGTTGCTCTGAAAAGTAAGAGCTTCAGGATGCTCAACCAAATATTTTACAGCTGTTGAACGGAAGCAAAAAAGACAGGCAGTACGCAGCCACCTCTCTGTTTTCAGATGCAGCTGTTTATTCATGAAGGGGGTACGTATTGCTCAGATGCGCTCTGTAGCATATCTGAGTCATCATCTTCACAGGAGAAAACAAATTGACACACGCCCTGAGTAACAAAGACAAATGCTCAGACTTACTGCCACTTTCGTGCCATGTTCATCCCAAGCACGAGTAGCTGGTTTATTGCTTCTAACAAAATTACTTTGCCAAGATTGCTATGCACAGAACATAAAATACATGACAACCACTGCACTGGAATGTACATTCCTAGGAATTATTTGCTAGAAAAGATGATGTGCCTGGTTGTAAACGTTCTGTGCATACACCTAAAGCAAGAAGTAAAGTTTGAAATGTTTATTGTGTGCAATTCAAAACTTTATGACTCCTTTAGGAATCTGAATAATAAACCTGCTTACATTTGCCAAGGCAAATCAGATGCAGATCTTGCTTCCTCTAACACAGAGCCAGGCATTCCAAAAGCAGGTAAAGGTTGGGAAGTGTACACAATAGATTTGTTTCTTTGCTTATTTTAAAATACGAAGTCAAACTGGCTTGTGACATCCCTAAAACACTCTTTATGCTAGCTGAAGATCTATCTTAAAATCTTACAACCTTTGCGCCTTTATCACTTGCACTTTTTGCTCACAGAATTTCACACAGCTGGATCTGTGGCAACTCGGAATTTTCTGTTATGAAGCTGCACAATACAGTGACATCCAATAATATCAAGGACAATTAGGATAATACTATATACTGGCCAACAGCTACCATTATTGGGATCTCAGTGTACTGGATAGCATACAAATAAAGACTGAACTGCCCCAAAGAGCTTATGGGAAAGCTCTTGAGCAAAAAAACCAGTATGGAGCTTAGGGGCCATGATGCACAATGGACCAGCCCCCTCCAGTTGGTGCTAGTGCTCTACCTACTGGCAGACACAGAATTTAGTGAAGGTAAAGGTGTTCCTTTTTTTCACATATCCGTTTGCCCAACCCTGAATGTTGCTTTCCCTTTCAAACTGCTGACCTGTACTTGGCTACCAAGGGTCAAGCTTCAAATGCGTGGGCCATCAACTAATGCTGAGCATACAGAAAACTGCTGATGTCCTGGTGGGCAGCACCTCATCAAATTGATCTCATAATATAATGTAAAATTCTGGGAAAAATGTGTTGAATTTATTAGATACTGGAAATATTCTGTGAACTTAAGGACTGCTAGGAAGACAAAGTAATATTAAACATTAATAACACACATACTAAGTGCATTGAATCACAGTGGTTTGTATGCTAGCTGGAGGTCGGATCTGAAAAGAAACTGAATTACTTTAAGAGTCCTTCTGGCTAGCAGAACAGCTTTATCACACACCTACTCAGCCAAGAGTGGAGGTGGTTAAGCTGAGTTTGTTGACATTTTTCATAAATCCTCTTGGATGTGTCCAGACATATTTTGAAAAGCAAACAAACAAGTATTGGCTACACTTGTGAAAATTAAAAAAGACACAGTGGTTATGCTGTCCTTCTGTCATATTCCAATTGTGTTGTATTACTCACTGTCTTCTCTAATGCTTCAATAAACTGTGAATTTATTCAGTACCTTGAAAATGTTTAAATTACTCCTGTCATTATAATACTCTAAAATCACTGTGAACTCTTGTGAGTGATTTATAACTTTTTAAAAGCCCTGCCAAACCTGATATAACAAACATATGCACACATAAATCACTTAGTCCCACAGGCAGATTACAGTACATTTTCTAACTGTACGAATAAACTATACTAAATAATTATGGTAATACTCTTACCTTTTTGAAAGCAATAGCTGCAATCCAATTACATCGGGCTTTACCGCTGAAATCGGATTGTACGCCTGAAGGGCTGGGGGGAACGGGTCTGACTGCCAGACAATGAGACTCCAATCTTTTTGTCCTTATTATCCCTAATCACTCCCACAATTATACACCAAGAACCCTTTCGAATCTTGAGCTTATAAACAAGTTGTTCCAGCAGAAGCAGAGGTAATGAAGCCTGATCTCCTGCAGATCCATAGTTTTGTCCTTAAACAGTGCCATTCTCATCACTGCAACATCCCAGCTCCTCCTTACAGTCTCCGTTGTGGATCAGAGCCAGTGTCACTCCTGAGTTCCACCAGTTCAGCCTCTGCTTGGCTGCTGCTAAGGCCACAGGACGGCGGTTGGACTCTGCCTGCCCTTCCTCCTGTGCAGAGCATTCATCTGCGTTGTCTCCTTTACCTGGTTGCTGATTTTTAGTACACTCTAAGAACAGCGATAGCTGCAACACAAGCTCCTTTTCAAATTTGGGCCAATTGAGCCACAGGTTCAAAAGTCATTAGGAAGACTGACAGACTACGCTGAAAACAGTGTTTAATCATGCACGTGTGTAGTGGGTTTCTTATATGGCCCTGTATATTTTTTAAAGTGGCTG